CTGCTGGAGGACAAACCTGAATGACAAACCGTATGTTCTGGGCTGTCAGAGTTGGGGCTCACAGCTTCCCCAGAGGTGCTCAGGGGGAATTTTGACTCTGATGGTTGGCTTCACTCACTGACTTGAGATGGGACTTCCAAAGACAAGACAGTAACTCCAGAGTCCGAGGTAGGACCCCAGAGTAAGACCGAAACACATTTCAAGTATCAAAGTCCACACAGTTTGCAGTTTCTTTTCTGCACAGCGAGAGATAATGCTAAAGGGACTGGCCTGTGCCCCTCTGGACCTTCTCTAGTTCCTGGCCAGAGGCTAATTCCACAGAGAACTCAGATTTGCAAGCATAGCTCATCTTTGCAATGCTTTGGCGGGCACCTTCCTCTGAAGGGCTCTTGGGGGATGGGAGTTTCATTTCATTTTATTTCATTTTCTGTGCAAGTAAACAGGGACACATTAGGGGAAGAGAAGATTTACTGTTGAGCTGAGCTCTGTTCTTCCAAACCTACAGATCTAGCTCTATTCCAGGACCCCTTCAGAACAACCATATACGTCTCCAGATTTTAGGAACTGGCTCTAATTAGGGCCTTCGCTTTCCCCTCGGAAATGTTCCTTTCCCCAGAACCAACAGCCTCATCTCTAGTTGACTGTTCTGACAGTTGTGAGTTTCATCACCATTCACCCATCTCTCTTTGAACACGTTTCTGCTAATGGTACCAGAAGGGAAAATTCTACCTGGGTTGGGGGAGGGGGGCTTGGGTAAGTGCTGGGTCACCTGTGGCATTGTGGAACCCACAGTTCCTTTCTTCTGGGTAATGTTCTACTCATGTTATTTGGGGTCAAATTACTGTTGCTGCTACTGGATGACTGTATTCTGTAACTGAGCAGTAGTCTCTACTCCTTACAGAGTCTCTGGCATTTATAGAAGGCTCTTTCTTCTGCACAGTGACTGTTTCTTCCTATCTCACCTGGTTTATTTCCACATAGGGCTGCTTGTGACCCCAAGCATATACAATTTAACGTGATCAACAAGTGGGAGAATTTGGCTATGCTTAGTACAGCCAGTATGCAAAAACATGAACGGCTCCAACTGCAGCCAACAAGACCCTGCCTGCCAGGCTGGGGTCACTGCTTGGAGCACACAACCTTTCCCAGAGGGGTGCGAAGAACAGGTTTATGTGAGGAGATAGGTCTACCTCAGAGAATACCAAGAATAGCCTCTTCCTTCTGCTCAAAAATAGGCCCTACCCCAGTCTTCCAGGATGGCCAAGCTTCTCCCACGGGGTCAGTACGGGACTCCAGCAACCCATTTATTAACTTATTTATTTTGAATCCAAGGAAGTTACAGGGCATTAAAAAATCTCTTTTTACAGTGCCACTTTAATATTTTCACAATGAAATATTACAGTACTATTAAAGCTATCTAACTGGCAAAAATACTCAAAAGAAGCATGGTAAAAAACTAGATTGAGACATTAAAAGAACAACTTTATGCTTATTAATAGGCTTTGTGTGGTTTTTCCTCCTCTTCTTCTGAACTGAAAAAGCATAAAAACAGTGTACTACCTTTGAATGATTTCAAAGCATAGTAGCATTTATACGCTGATAGTATGTATTTTAAAAGCTCAATTATGTTACACTGTGAATTTAAAAATTACGGTGCATATTTATTTTAATAAAATAACAAAAAGCCTATCTTTTGTTAAAAAATATCTTCAATTTTTTAATTGTTTGTGTTTTGGGGGGATGGGCCACACCCAGAGGGACTAGGGGTTACTCCTGGCTCTGTGCTCGGGGATTACTCCTGGCTCTGTACTCAGAGATTGCTCCTGGCTCTGTGCTCAGGGATCATTCCTGATGATGTTCAGGGGACCATATGTGGTTCCAGGGATTAACTGTGGGTCAATTCCTAGCAAGGCAAGCGCCTTAACTGTTGTAGTACCTCTCTGGTCCATTTTTATTTATTCATATTTTTTCCCATTTTAACTGAGTTCCCAGGATTTACAATCCCATTGGTGATAGTTTTGTGCATACATTGTCCCAACACCACACCCACCCCTTTCCCCTTCACTAGAATCCCAAGGACACCTCCCAGGTAAGCTCAGCTCCATAGCTCAACTCCACAGTGCTGCTGCCTTTGGCCATTTGTTGGTCTCTTAGCATCTTTCTGTTATTTAATGGAACCCCACAACTTGAGAGGGAGCCCACGTCCACCCTTCTCGGGAAGCCAGGCCTGGCGGACTGAAGTGGCTGAACCACCAGCTGAGGAATTCTTGAGTTCTGCCAAACGCTTCAAGCTCCAAGATGCCACGGAGAAGGTGGCAAGGAGAAGGTTCTAGAAGGGATGATTCTGAGGTCAATTTTCGCTGGTGGGAATGTGGGTAAATCCCCACACAAGCCAGTGAGAACGAAGGCAGACAGAGCCCACTCGGGTTGGACCGCCCTCATCCTCACCTATGAGGCAGCGGTCAGCACCCGGCCCCTGGGTCCGCATCCCCGTCTGGGCGTCCAGGCCTGTTGACCTTCTGCATCACAGCCCCCACCAGGATACGACTCCTTGGGGCCCCGCCTTAACCTTGGAGAGCGCCCCCAGTCACCCCACCCCAACCAGGACACGCTCAGCTGTTGGAGCACCCTCCCAGATGAGGAGTGGACATTATGCATGGTCCTTCGTTTCAGGACAGGGTCCCCATCACCTTCTTGCCCCGCGAGTCCCCGGGGTTTTACAAGGAGACAGAGAGGGTGGAGCGGCCCTGGCGCCCCGCCCCGCCCACTCCCCAGGTCCAGGGCATGCCAGTGTGATGAGGGCAGGCGCTGCCCCGCTGGAGGCCCAGGACGCGCCCCGAGGGGCCCTGCCCCACCTCCAGCTTCCAGCCCACACCTCCACGAGGCCCCAGGGGGCTCTCACCTCTCCCGACAGGGCAGACGCAGAGGCCCTTCCTGTGCCACACATTGGAGTGTCAGCCCCCGCCCACCCCCAAGTCCCCTCCGGATCCTTCCTCATGTTCTACAGCTCTGATGCCCTTCAGGTGGTCCCTTCTCATCAGAGTCGCAGGCTCTGTGTGAGGACCCAGAGGTGGCAGAAGAGATTCTCACCTTTGGGTGTTATCTGGAGGGCTGGCGGTCCACGGAATCCTCCCAGGGGTTGGGGAGTCTGTCCTTCCTCCTCAAGCCCCCCGCATGGCCTTCCACTCTCCTCCTGCTGCTGGTCTTAGTTTGCAGCCCACAGGTCTCTCTCCTCGACCTCTGACCTCCGCCACCAACCCTCCCCCCACCATTCCCAGCCACCCCCACCTCCTAGCCAAACCCAACAACACCCGAGTCTGTCATGACCTGGGGGTTGCTTCTCCCCTGATTCCAGCTACCTTCAGCCCCCATACTGTGGCCTTTATTTTTCAGTTTTCACATCACACCCAGCAAAATGTTTTTCCCTGCTGTGCACCTCCCTGACTTTTTACCAATGTAGATTCTGGTAGCTGATAAGATGGTCATCTTCCAGAGAAGTCCAGAAAGGCCGTGAAGCAGCCAGCAAGTCTCCCGACATCCCTAATCCTTAGCGACCATTGATCTGGTTCATGAGTCTACGTTTTTCTTTTTTTTCTTCTCTTTTTTAGGATTTCATAGCAATAGAATGACGTGAACTGCACAACGTACCTTTTAATACCGGCTTCTTTTTCAGCCTAGTCCCCTGCAAGGCCTAGGGGGTCTAGACCCTGTCCCCCCACCCCCGCCCCCGCCCACCCTGTGTCTGCCTTGCCTCCCTCCAGCCCCCACCCCAGTTCAAGTGTACTCTGGAGCGCTGCCCTCGCCCCCACGGCCCTCAGCTTTCCCCCTGCTTCCCTCCCAGTTCTTGTGGGGAGTGTCCCAGTCAGGGGGTCTCTCCTGGCTGTTTCTGGACCCCCTAAGGCCTCCTGTGAAGCAGCAGAGGGCTCATCAAGAGTATGGGCCAATTCAAGCTCATCTGCACACCCAGGGACTTTGAAGCTTAGTGTTCAGATGGTGTTTGTGTGTGTGTGTGTGTGTGTGTGTGTGTGTGTGTGTGTAAATGTGGGACCAGGTGTGTGTCTGAGGAAATGTGGATCCAGGTGTATGTGTTTGCTTATATGTGGACCCAGGGGTGTGTGTGTGTGTGTGTGTGTGTGTGTGTGTGTGTGTGTGTATGCAGATGTGGGACCAGGTGTATGTCTGAGGAAATGTGGACCCAGTTATATGTGTTTGCTTACAGGTGGACCCAGGTGTGTGTGTGTGTGTCTGTGTGTCTGTGTGTGTGTCTGTGTGTGTGCATGGTATGTGTGTGTGTGTCTGAGGAAATGTGGGCCCAGATGTGTGTATATATATGTATCTGGGGAAATATGGGCTGGACTCATGGTACCAGCTCCCTGAGGGACTGAGCCGTTGGCCATGGTTTTTGTTTCTTCTAGTGAGTCAACAACCCCGTGTGTATGTTTAGGGGAACACTTCAAAACCTCTTCTCCTGGGTCCTGGGAAGGCAAGGAAAGTTCAGTCTAGAAGCACAGGAACTGATTTAGACTTCACTGAGGTCACCGTGAGGCCGAGCAGTTCCCATCGAGGCCACGGAGTTCAAAGAAATATTTTGAATAAATGACGATGACCCTGTGATCACAATCATTCTGGAAGAACTGAGAGTGCCTTGAGGGACGAGTTGAGAAGGGCGGAGGCCTGTGAGGTGACACGGGGGCAGGGCCCACGTGGGAAGGCTGGGGACAGGAAGTCACTGGGCAAAGGTCACCTTTTGGGTTGGAAGGATCACTCTGAATTTTCGTGCAACTGGGGGAGATGTGGTCCCCACTCCATGGCCTGGGTTGTGCCCGTGGCTCTCCCGCTCACTGCAGGCTCTCGGTTCCCCCCACCTCTGTTTCCTCGGTCAGGGTCCGACTATGTGATTCCTGTGGCACAGCCCACACGCACGGCCACAACATCGGGGGTGCCCCCAGGTGCCACTCCACACGACATAACCCCACAGCGAACAAGAACTACCAGCAGGGTTGGAATCAGAATACTTTAATAAGATATCAGTGTCAAAATACATTTCCTTATAAAGTTAAGCTCCCAGATAGTTACGATGTCAGTAGGAATTCGACAATATAATAATGTTCATAAAATCATTATGTTGACAGGTAAGGTTAATATGAAGCTCAGAAGAGTTTTCAGAAGTTTTAGTAAAACTGCAAGGGTAAATGCCCTTTATGCTGAGGCCACACACACAGGGATCAAACACCAGCGTTTCACGTCCGAAGCCTTGAGTCGTGCCCTCCCGCCCCAGCTGCGTGGGCGCAAAGCCGCGGCTGCTGCACTTGTGTCTGGACAAGAGTGACAGGTCATCTTTCTCACACCGTTTAGCTGTTTCAAAAAACCAACCTTCTGTTTAATTTTTTTTTTTTTGGTAACGAGTCTATCCAGGGCTTATCAAATTCTTGGCCTGCTATGTTGTGTGTGTGTGTGTGTGTGTGTGTGTGTGTGTGTGTGTTTCTAGAAACTTCTTTGTACCCATGATAGAAAGTTCCACAAGATTGGTATTTAAAAACCCAAAGTTCCACATGATTGGTATTTAAAAACCAAAAGGTAATGTCCCTCTTACCCGGTGAGTTACAAAGTGCTCTGAGAACACTCAGTTTTCAGTGCTCCTACCTATATAAGTCACTTCAAGTGACAGGACTGGGAAGGGCCTGTCCCCAGTGGGGCCACTGCACCTTGGCCCTGCAGGGCACCCTACAGTAGGCTGAGAGGCGGGGATGCAGGGGCGGGGCGGGGCTGGCTGAGGCCCGGCCCCCTCCCCCTGGCGGGCGCCCTCTGCATCCAGCTCTGCGTCCCCCCAGGCAGAGAGCCGAGCGGACATGGCTGGATCTCCACCCTGTTCCTAAACCCTCACTTTCTTCCGTGAACTCCCATCGAAACCATCGCACGGGAGCTTCCAGAAATATCCCAATGTGCCACGTGAAAAGACCATTAGACACACCTAGCTCAGTGCACTTGAAGGGCCAGCAACGAAACCCCAAGAAAAGTCAAAGCACTTCCCCTCCCTGGGCGTTCTCCCCCCACCCCGCCCCACCCCGCCCCTGACCCCATGACATGCCATCACGCCCTCTTGGCGGCAATAATACATACATACATACATACATACATAATACATATAGAACACGAGGAGAAGACAGCTCGCCACGCGCCCACTTCATGACCCCACCTCCCGGATTGTTCGCCATGACGAGGCGTATCCCAGAGCACAGAGTCCCCGTGCCAGGAAGGCCTGTGGGGGACCGGGTTCGCCAGCCGCGCGGGGCAGAGCGGACGGACAGCGCCCAACAAGAGCTTAAAGTGATTGTGTGAGCAGGATTCCACTTCCCTTTCTACGTTTTCAGATATTACAAAGTACCCATAGAATACGATAAACACTTAACCCAGATATAAATGTTGTTTTTAAAAAACTGTTATGCTTTTGAGTAAGAATAAAAAAAAATCCACTGGTGGAGGGGCCCTGGGTATGGGGCTGCGGGGGGAGGCACTCTGCAACTTGCCCAAAAAACCACAGACACGGCAGCTTCAGCATTTCTTTTTTGCCCCCAAGAGTCACACCCAAATTTGAGCAGAGTGGGCTTAAGAGAGGAAACAGATGGACATTTACAGTATGGTGATCTGTGTTCTCCGAAAGGAACGGAGGAGGAGAACTGGAGAAGAGCAGGCCGGGAGTCAAGCTTGGGGGAAAAGCAGGGGTGACTGTTTCTCTTTGGCAACCATCGTTTTCGTTATATCAAGCCGAAGCTTTCCAAGGTGAACCACTATACAGCAACCCTGTGAAGTGTGGGTAGCGTGTGTGACAGAGAGAGAGAGAGAGAGAGAGGCTCCTTTGAATAATATAAATTAGAAGTAACTGACATGGTGGGGGGGGCAAGGGGGAAATTCTTATGAAATTTCAAAACATCCTCATGAACCAAAGCCAGATGGAGCGGGTCGAACCACTATGTATTTGTGAGTTGTGGGTGATTAAGCGCGTCTCCGGACAGAGGCTGCTCCGTGGCGCGCGGCGGGCGGGCCAGGTAAGTACATCTGGTAAATGGGCTGGTGTTAGATTTACCTAGTTGCAAAAACAGATGCAGAGAGTGAAGCTGGTGGCACTGCGTGCAGGGGTGCCTGCAGGGCGGGGGCCCTGGCTCAGGTGGCCTGGTCCAGGGCCCGGAGGAGGTCCCCGCCCTGCAGGAGTGTGGAGCTGCCCGGCACGGGCACGTTCACCTCACAGTCATATCTGGTCAATTCGGGCAGCAGGTAGGGCTCGAAGGAGGACCCGAGCAGCCGGCTGGCCATACCTGCAGGGACAAGAGGAAGCCCAGGTTAAACCCACAGCCAAACTTCGGAGAAGCAGCGGGGCGGCCCCTGGGGTCACCGCATGTCCTCACGGTCGCCTCCTGTGGCTGCAGAGTGGCCCCTCTCCCTTCCCTCCCTGGGCGGAGGGAGCAGGTGGTGGCAGCTGCCTCCTGGGGGGGTCGGGAGGCAGGGAAGGAAGAAGCGGTGGGATTCCCAGGGAGGCAGAGCAGGGGCCGGAGCAGAAGGGGGAGGGTGGGGAGATGGCTTGCATGCCTGCAACATGCACCACGCACAGCCAGGCTCACGCCACTGGCCTCAGGGAAGGCTGAAACCATCGTCCCCTGCAAGGGCGGACCCAGAGCTCTGGGATGGCCTCGCTGAAGACGCCATTGAGTGAGGGCTGCGCTGCCGCCCTATGACTGTGTCCTCTGTTCCTCTGCTCCCACCCCATCAGCCACCACTTAGAACCCCCTCCCCACCCAGACATGACGTGGTCACAGGAAGAACTGGGCCTCCCATGGGTCTGCATCCCCGACTCTGGGTCGGTCTCCGAGCCAGCAGGGTGCAGAGCCCGATGCGCCTCAGGCCATTCCCAGGGAGCACGGGGGACCCCTGTCCAGAGGTGGCGCGGGCATATCTCCCTGCCCTGAGGGGCGGGGAGGGGGTGGTGGCGGCGATGTGTTTTGTTGTTGTTACTGGCCTCTGGGTCAGCCTGACGGTGCTGAGGACTCACTCCTAGTGCTGTGCTCGGGGGTCGCTCCTGCTGTGACCCCGGCCACGGGTGGTACCTTGCCAGGAGCTGAGCCATGTGTGGCCACTTGTCAGGCAAACGCCTGATGTGCTCTCAGGCCCCCAGACCTCTGCGTGATGACATCTAAGGCTGACAAGGTGGCTAACTCAGGGCCGGGGGGTGGGCGGGGGGATGCCCCCGCAGCTCACGCTCAGCAACTGTTCCAAGTCTTGGAACTGCGCCACCAGGGAATCAGGCAGCCACGAGAGAGAAATGGGTCAGTGACCGGCTCAGGCCTGCTCGGGGTCTAGTTTTGCCTCCTTCCCCGGGTGCTCACCTGATGCCTTGTGAGTGGACGGCAGGCCATAGTCCTGGTAGGCGGGCACACAGCACGCTGAAGGGAAGCCTCTCTTGGCGTTGCCGGCAGGGCTCACAGCGGCCGACGGGGGCTGTGGCGGCAGCAGGTGTCTGAGGGGCTGCCCGAGACCCCTCATGGGATTCTGGCTGAACTCATCTGAAAGATGGGCCAGGGGCGTGAGGCCCGGGACGGCTGGGCAGGTGGGGTTGTCTCCCCGGGATGCCCCCTCTTGCCCCGTGGCTCACCATCGGCCGTGCTCGCTCTCACTGGCTTGTCAGGCACCAGAGGGGCCCCCAGACCCTTCATCCTCTTCCACATCAAGTGAGGGGCAGTGCTGGGGCCCGGCGGGTCGCCCTGCACGGGGAGGGGCACCGGTCACCATCACAGCCCCCCACCCCCCTGTGGGCCCCCCGGGAAGGCCCCCAGAGACGGTGGGGAGAGACTCACCCCGCCCAGGTCCGGGAAGAGCTGCTCCTCGTACTCCAGCTGCCGCTTCAGCTTCAGCTTGTTGGACAGGGCCAGCACGGCCGGGCTGAGCACGTCGGGGCCCTGCAGCCCGAAGCCCTTGGCAGACCTGCCAGGCCCAGGATGGCGGTCGGGAGGGGCACTGGCACCATGCCCGGCAGCCAACAGCTCCCCGCCCAGCCCAGCCCCATCTCTGGGGGTCTACCAGAGTGCGAAGTCAGAAGTCCAGGCCTGCGCTGTGCCCTCGTGCTTGGTTCTCTCCCCTCAGGAGGGGCCAAAGGCCGGCACCCAGGGCCCTGCACCTGACCTCCACTCAGGGCAGCCGTGGTCTCCAGGGTCCTCCTGATCCCCCTCCCCTGTCCCGACTGCTCCCCGTTGAGCCCAGGGCCCTGCCGTGGGACACACACGCCATGGACAGCGCCCCATGGTGGAAACATGGCTCACTGGGGGCCATGGGGCCGGGAAGATGTTGGCCACTTCTTAGCCGTGAGTGAAGCCACCAACGGGCACTTGGGCACGCTTGGGGCTCGGCTGCTGGTGCCCTCAACGATGTTAGAGAGATTGAGTTCTGCCTGGCCATTCCCCCCCTGCGCCCCCGTCTGTCCTGGGTCTTCTCAGAAGTGGCCCCCAGACTTTCCACCCTGGCCAAATGTCCCTCCCAGGTTACTGACTCCCCAAAATCCCAGTGGCTGAGTCCAAGGGGCCTAAGCAGACTGTCTGACAGTGCGGTCCTGGCCGTGTCCCCCACTGAGTGGGCCCTGCCCACTCTCCCCATCCCCACCCCCCACCCCCGGTTTGGCCAAAGCAGCCAAGGGCCCCTGGCTCTTACCTCTTCTTCAGCATGGAGAGGTGCGGTGAGGCGCCCGGGGGTCCCGAATGTGCAGCCCCCAAGGACTCAGCGTGCTGAGCACCCACCGGCCACTTGGTGGGCCCAAACTGTAATGGCGGGTCAGGGGGCCATTGTGTGTTGGACCTGCCCCCCATGGAGGAGAGGGGAGTGCTGGCCTGGCCATAGCACGGCGGCAGAGACACTTTGCTCCCTGCGTCGAAGAAGATGGAGGACATGGGCCGGTGCTCAGGCTCTGTCTTCTTGCTCTCCAACTGCTGCTGATACTTATCCAGGAGGAAGGGGCCGGACGAGGCACCCGGGGCCAGGGGCTGGAAGATGCTCGTCATGGTGCTGAAGCAAGGCTGGGGGGTGGGCTGGGGCGTCTCTGGCAAGAGCCTCTCCTCGGGGCAGATGGGGCTGAGCTGGAAGTCCTCCCCGTCCATGGGGATGTAGGGGGCCAGCGTCTCCAGGTCCAGCTCATTGAAATCGGTCTGCAAGAGAAGGTGCAGTGGGCATCGGGGGGCAGCTGAGCAGAGGCAACCCCTACTGTGCCCTGAGGCCTTGGGGATGCCCTGGGGCCTTGCAGGTGTGCTGGTGTGCGCGCACATACACACACGCATGCATACGCACACACGCACAAACACGCACACACATGCATACACACACACACACACACACACACACACACACACACACACTCGTCCTTGCCAGATATTGACCCCCTTACTCAAAGGGCTCTCCTCTCCACCCAAACTCCACTTTCTCCTGTCCAACCCGGGTCAGCCCACAAGGCCCCCCTGCCTGCAGCCCTCCTCCAGCCCTCGGCCCTGCGTTGCATGAGCCCTCAGAGTCAAGGGCAGTTCAGGGCTCCTCCCCCTCCTTTGGCTGTGCTCAGAGCGGTTGTGGACAGCATCCAGAGTGCCGGCCAGCCCCGGGCCATGGAGGGAAACTACTTCCGGTCAGCACTCGCCTTCCAGGACAGAGAGGGGCTCCAAGAAAGACCTCCCCAGCAGGCACAGGCCCGCCACGCACCCGCTCGGCCTTGATAATCTGACTCACGCACCCCAGAAGCTGAAGGGGAGAGGAGGGCGGAAGCGGGGAGGGACTTGCAAACCGCACACGCGGGGGGCTAGGCTAACCCTGGGACATTCAGCGCACTCTGAGGAGAATGGGGAAGGGGGGATTTTGTTTTGGGTTTTGTCAGGCATGTACCCACCCACCCATGTCAGTCTACGGTTTGGAGAAGATGTGGCCAGTGGAATAAATATGTTCCTGAAGGCTTGATGTCAGAAGGGGGGAAAAAATCTTGTCTCAAGTGTCATTTTTGTTCTTTTTTTAATAATTAATAAAAATGTGTGACTTCCGTCTGTGTGTTTGGGCCACATTCAGCGGTGCCCAGGGCTTATTTCTGGCACTGTGCTCAGGAGTCACTCTCCAGTACCCAACCAGCTACACGGTCTTCCTTGCCCTGGAAGTTCCCGTTTCACAGGCACTTTGTTAAAACAGCTATTTCAAAGACCTCCAAGATGAGAACGGGAAGGAAGTAATTCCTCCCCGTGCTTATACATCTGGATATGTGCTTTGGGTGGGTGGGTGGCGGTTGTGGCTGGGTCCTATCCAAGGTGCTTGGGGGACCGTCTGCAGTGCCAGAGATGGAACAGGAGCTGCCTGCCTGCAGGGAAAGTCCTTCACCCTTTCATTCTCTCTCTCTCACCCTGGATATGCTTGATATTATTTTTGGTTTTCCAAAATTTTGTTTTGTTTTTGGGCCACACCAGCAGTGCTCAGGGTTTACTCTTAGTTCGGTGCTCAGGGATTCCTCCTGGTTCAGGGCACCATATGCGGTGCTGGGGATCAAACCTGGGTCAGCCACGTGCAAGGCACATGTCCTACCCTCCGTATTATCTCTTCAGCCCTGGATCGGCTCTTTAAAGGTTGGTCTACCTTGATGTTGAGTCATTGGTTTTCATGAGCTCTAAGGAAAGTATCTCCATAAGGAGGGAAAAAGAGTGACAAGTGACAGAACTGGATTGGACACAGGCAAGCAGACATGGTGTGACCATTCTTTTTTTTTTTTTAGTTTTTTTTTTTTTTTTGCTTTTTGGTGATGTGCAGGGGTTACTCCAGGCTCTGCACTCAGGAATTACTACTGGCGGTGCTCGGGGACCATACGGGATGCTGGGAATCAAACCCGGGTTGGCCACATGCAAGGCAAACACCCTACCCGCTGTGCTATTGCTCCAGCCCCCGTGTGACCACTCTTGACATCCATTTAGGGAGCATGGCTTGGGCCAGGCACCCTGTTGGGTTCTACATGCAGGGATGAAGCTGTTTCCATGCACCCACTTCCCTGCCATCTTCACGACCACCCACCTGGGTGCTGCAGGGGTCCTTTGCCTCGGTGTCCATGGCAAAGAGCTTCTCGATCACTTCAATCTTCAGATCATTGTCCAGAGCTGTGTAATAGTCTCCAGGGCTGCTGGGCTGGGGGCCGGGAGGGTGACCGAGTTAACAGTGTGGCACTGGTCTCCCCCAAAGTCCAAGACAGAAGAAGAAATACATTTTTTTTTGACCTAGCAGACGGAAGTTCATTCTCCCAAACAGGTCTTTTCAGCGCACCAGCTCCTCACAAACTATGGGGACGAGGCTGATTTATCTCCCTCAACCCTGCAGGATCCAATGCCCCATCTTGGGAGAGCATGGGATCACTCGCTGCTGGCTCAGTCTGCTGCCCGGGGCATTGCTGAGACTACCATGCTCTGTACATTCAACTCGCCTCTTTGGGGGGCTTACAGTCAGTAGACCGCGGGCCATCCCAGCCTCGGGGGCTCTGGGAGGGGTAGACATAGTGTTCCCACCTGGCCAGGAAGAGCAGCCCCAAAGAATTCTCTGCCGGGGTCGACTCACCGTGGAGCAGCTGCTGCTGCTGCTGGCGCTGGGTGTGGTGCTGCCCTGGGCAGCCGTCTGGGGCACGGTGAAGGCGGGCAGCCCGCCAGCCTCACTCTGGGTGCCGTGGCCCCTCAGCTCTGCAGCCCATGGCTGTGCAGGGGGCAGGACGGCCTTGCCGTAGCTTGAGGACTCCTCAAAGTTCTGGTTTCCTGGGAAGACAAGAAAGAGCCCGATCCATAGCACCCACTGCTGGGCTCGGCCCCACGAGACAGGGACTCCGAGGACAGAAGAGCTGAGGGTCTGGAAGCACGTCGGGGGGCTGGCCAGGACACAGGCCCCTTTCACTGGGCCTTCAAGGGTGCGTCCTCCTGGAGCGCTTCACCTATCAGTGGCTCAGGCGTCACTGTCCAGTGAGGAGCCATCCAGAGTGCAGCTAAGGAGGGCCAGTGGGGAAAAGCGGGCGGTGGGCCTTGGAAAGGACCCTCGGGGTGGAGGTGGGTGGGCAGCTGAGACCAGTGCTGTATACATGAGCTCGGTTCCCTCCCCGAGTACGGAGTTGGTCAGAACCATGCGGGAACTAAAGCTGGTCCCAAGCTCTCTCACATACCCCTCAGAGGCACTGAGGCATGGCTACCGCCTCCTGATCCCCGGGCTGTGGACACAGGGGGCTGCAGGGTGAGGTGGGGAAAGGAGGGAGAAACTACCCCAGGATGCTTCCAGAATGCACTGTGGAGAGGGTCTGAGCCCAGGGATGCATGAGCTCACTCCCATGGGACAGGCAGATGCTTTTCACACATTGACTCCACTGCTGCCAGATGGGTTCGTTAGACCACATCCGCATGTGCACCGCAGGTGGCCCACACTGGCATCGGTTTGTCTGAGCAGTGCAGACGAGTGGGGAATGTGAGCCTGCAGCTTGCCCCATCCTGTGTCCTGGCACTTGATTTCCTAACATGCTTTCCCCCATCTACACAACCTGTCCTTCGAGACCCGGGGACAGGGCTGGGAAGTGGGTGCCAGCTGACTGCTGACCCCAACCAGGCCTCACACTGCGGGGGCCGGACACTTTGCTCAGGGAGGTGGTGCCTTGTAAGGGCAGTGGCTGTAGGGATGCCGCACCTGCCCAGCCAAGACCAGAGACTGGCCCTGACCCAGGATGGCCCAGCACTTAGGGTAGGTTCAGGGACAGCTATAGACAGGAAGGCCGGCACCAGCACCCTCATCCCACTCCCTCCAAGGCCTTCCGGGACTCCGGAGTGGCTGAGCACCCACCGAAGTCCAGAGAAATGATGGTGTCTCCGGCAGTGGGGGCCAGCTGGGCCAGCTCCTCGGGCTCCTCCTTCAGCTTGGTGAACAGGAAGTTGCTCTTGTCCACCCTGCCCACCTCCCCGCTGCTGCCGTCAAAGATGCCGCTCATGTCCATCAGGTGGGGCTTGAACAGGGACTCGGTCTGGTCCATGGAGAACACCACGTCGTTCTTCTCGATGTCGCTAGTGGGACAGAGGACACTGAGACCGGTCGCCACTCCAGCCCGAGCCCCCAGAGTCCCAGCTGCCCACGAGCCCTCTCAGACCAGTCCTGGGACGTGCGGTGAAGCCCACAGTGGAGGCATGGAGGGTCTCCATGGGCCGTCCTCGGGCCTCCTCCCCACTCAGAAACACCTGACAAAGGAGCATCGGGCGGGGATGCCACCCCCACCGAGGGGATGTGTGCCAAGGATGCAGCCGGGCTCCGGTCAGTACTGCCCTGCTCCTTAACTTCTACGCGGGATAGGCAATGTGAGAGCACCGTGGCGAGAGCCTCCGCCTCCCCTGGACCCGCTGCCCGTGCCTGGGAGCTGGATGCCACGCCACATGCAGCGAGCCCCTCCACACCACACCCCCTCCATACTGCCTCCCGCCCCACCTCACCTCAGGACGTAGTTGACACACATGATGCACTGGGGCTGCAGGTTGCGCGGGTTGTAGATGACGGTGCCCTGGGTCTCCAGCCACACGTAGCCCCCGTGCTTCGCCAGCATGCGGTACTGGCCACTGACCACCTGGCCCTTGGTGCACACTGGGGCGGCAAAGCAAAGTTTGAGTCAGGAGGACATGGGTGAGGGGGTGTGAGCACCTGTATGAGGGCAGACACCCGCACGCACAGGGGCAGTTGAGGACAGGCGGGACTGGACACCCGGACTTTGAGGATGGGGAAAGTGGGCACAAGACCTGCCCGACCCTCTGTTATAATCCGGGCAGGGCACCCAGGGAGGGAGGCTGGCAGAACCCAGGCTCAGGGGTGAGCAGAGCCTCAAGCAGAGCGGGCAGTGCCCACTCCCAGCCCCCCGCTTGACGGGCCTGGGGGTAGTTGTGGGAGCCACCCCCTCCTCTGTCAAACTTAGTTTTCTTTGTATTTTTGCTGAGGAAGGCTGAGCCCAGTAGGTCCCCTGGCAACCCTGGATAGGCCGTTCCCCCCCACCCTCCCCCCCCCCCCCCCCGCCCCGTCATTGCTGCTGAATGTGTGCTCAGGGCTCACTCCTGACGATGCTCAGAGGGCCTTAGATGGTGCTGGGGATTGAGCAGGGTTGGCCACGTGCCGGGCAGGTGCCCTCCTAGCTGTGCTGTGACTCCAGCTCAGATCATGGCATTTGAAAGGCTGCGGTGAGCCCTTCATCCCCCTAACCTGGCCACCAGAGCAGCTGCCAGCCTGGGACTCCTTCCGCTTTCCAGATGGCTCTGCTAGATTGCAAACACTGGGGAAGGGGTCTCAGTGCCCAGCATGTCCTCACCCTTCAGACAGAGTGACCCAGCTGCTCCCATGAAATTTATACACCCTTTACTTGAAAGGATAATAATGTTAGAATTCCTGGTGATTTCCTGAACTTTTCCTTTCCTTTCTTTAGGAATCTGTTCAATTCAGAATCCCAGCTCAGAAGAGTAGCAAAAAAAGCATGATGAAGAGATCAGCTTGGCCAGGAAGATTCTCACTGTGGTTTCTTCCACCGTGAAACGGGGCATTGAGCACACCAGTGACCAAAGCCTGCCACCAGGCATCACTACCAAAACTCTCTAAACAGAGAACCAGTCTGCCTGCCAAGTTTACCAGCCACAAAGATGCCGGCTAGACGTCACTGTGTCACTGACAGATGCTGGAGAGCAGCAGCTACCTCTTCTCTGGCAGCTGCTGACACACCACGCACAAACCCAGGCCCACAGGACACAGCTCTGAAGCAGGGGGGCTCTGCAGGAGAAAACCCGACTCTCTGCAGGTGGAGGATCTCATCACCATTCCTGTGGGGCTGAGTGTGCAAGCTGGTTCACACACAAGCTGTCTGTTGCCCTTCACAATTTGTGTGTTTTTTTCTTTTTGGATCACACCCAGCAATGCACAGGGGCTTACTGCTGGCTCATGCACTCAGGAATTACTCCTGGAGGTGCACAGGGGACCATATGGGATGCTGGGAATCGAACCCAGGTCGAACTGCGTGCAAGGCAAATGCCCTACCTGCTGTGTTATCGCTCCAGCCCCTGGTTCCTCAAAAATGTAATGAGCACCCTGGAGGCACAGGAAGTGCCGCATCTTACGTGGGCATGGTGCTTTGCAGAACCCCTGGAGCAGACCCAGGGGATGAATTCCTTGCCACCAAGCACTAATCAGTGCCTGGTGCCTGGATTACGGATAAGGATGGGCAGCATCGCCATCACACTGAACAGGCAGCATCGCGGGGGCTGTCTATCGTAAGATCAGTTTGGTTTCTGGAGAAACCAGGCTTAGAGCAATGAATTGATAGGCCGAAAAGCTCTCTGAGTGGAAACAGTGGACAGGGTTAGAGTCCCAATCAAATCAAAGCTTGATAGGTCTGGTTTTCATTTCTTTCAGAAAAACCAACTTTGGGGCTGGGACGAAAGCTTGAAGGGCTGGAGTACACGCAGAGCATGTGCAGGGCCTGGAATGGATCCTTGGCAGAGCCTGGTCCTCCAAGCATGGCTGGGAATGACACCTGAGTACCAGGCTAGAAGCAATTCCTGAGCACCGGCAGCAGCGGCCAAGCCCCTCCACCCCACCCCCACCTTGTCTCCCTACACACACACAACTTCATTGAGGTACCATTTAACTTCAATAAAAAATAAAATATGCACCATCGATGAGCTTTAACCCACCCACGAGCACGTAACCCATGCCACAATCGAAGGTTTGGGTTTCTCGTCACCCCAGCTCCTAGATTCCTCCTGCTTCCCAGCTCTGATTTCCCCCCAGCACCGCCCCTGACCCACACCATTCCCGAGAAATACTGTTTCTGCCGCGACAATCTTTTCTGCACCTTCCCTAGGTGGAGTCCCCCCTAGGCACTCGGCCTGGGTTCTGCTGTCCCTGGCTGGCTGCTTCTCACTACAGGGTCACCTCTAGGGGGCCCTGCCTGGGCTTCTCCCCTCAACACCCATGGGGGGCTCACATGACTTCCAGTCTGGTGTCCTGAGGAAGTGTCTCCACCTGCCGTGTGCGTCTCTGTGCAGGCACACTACGGGCACAGCCCGCAGGACACGGCAGGGGGGACATGCTGACCACACATTTCTAAGAAACTGCCGAATGAGGCAAGTTAGATTTTCAGTTCCGTTTGGTTTCTGGGTCACACCCAAGAGTGCTCAGGGCCTATGCCTGGCAGTGCTCAGGGAACCAGATGCTGGGAATTGCTTCAGGGCCGTTTATATGCAGGGCAAGTGACCTCCCCTCCAGACTAGCTCTCCAGCCCCTCAATCTCATTTTGGTAAGAACATACTGTGCTACAGGAAAAGAGCGTGCTCATCTGCCTCTACTGTGAGGAAGACTCCGGGCAGAGGAACTGGGCTTTGCCATGACATATTGGACCAGATGACAGGCTCAAAGCCTAGCAGTTCTGGAGGATAAACTCAGGCTCCTTCTCTGCCACAACTCACCATGCTGCCACCCCTAGCGGCTGCCCCCAGGGCCCCGTCCCTGTGCAGACTACCCAGGCTCCTTTTCAGCAGGGAAATGATTCCTGCGCAATATTAAGAGCTTGGAGTTAACTTATTTAGCGAGTCCCTAATGTGGGCAGAATTCAGCACTCTTACTCTTTTTGATCGAGCCATTCAGCGAGCAAAGGTTTTAACTGCATTTCCAGAGCTGCAGATGAGGGCCGGTTCTGTCAGCAGAGTGTAATTACACCTGCTTTCTAGTCATCTGCTCATTAATGCCAGTTTGGGTTGGGGGCCTGCTCGCTTGTAAGGAGCAGGCAGGCTTTTGATGGCCTTTAATCTTGTTTTCCTAAGAGCACATAATGTCCTCACACAACAAAAAGAAGCCAACCCCGTCACCCCCCTTCCAACCTCGATTCTAGGACAGTAGCTATAAATTACTAATCCATTGGGAAACGATGGCTTTCAACCCTCCAAATCTGGCTTAAGGACAGAGTTTCCCCAGTCATCTCCAGGGGACACACACAGGTGCCTAAGTTTGAGCTGCTTCTGTCAGTCTGGACTAGCCTCAACCCCGGCCTCTTTCCTGTCCAGTGTGAGAGTCAGTGCGTGTGCCCAGAGAGCGAGATGAGAATGGGATCCCGTGAACGAGATGAGAATGTGAAAGGGTGCGGGAAGGCAGGCTGGCATAGGCACAGAAAGGGGTTTCTGTCTTAGCTGAATTAACCCGATTTTTAACTCAGCTGGCTTTCCCTTCGCTGGATGAGGGCTTCCTGGCTGGGGGCAAGTTTTTCAGGCATGAGGGAGGGAAGAAGAGAGTTCAAGTTGTTAATTACTCTTAGGTCTAATGCTTAAATTCATAGCTTCAAATAGTACACAGACACAGACACAGACACACACACACACACACACACACACACACACACACACACACACACATTTCCTCTGGAGTCAACAGAAAGCTCATAGGAAAACTCTTTACCCCAGTTCTTTTTTAGTGTATCAGAGACTGAGAAGGAGGGGAAATGTCCTTTTTCTTGTGCCTAGTGAGAAGTCATTGTGTTTGTTCCTGAAACGGCAGTTCCCTCCACTTTCCCAGCCAAGAAGACAATGGACAATACTGTCCTCCAAGAACTTCTAGAACTTTTCCCTATTGTCTCTTGTTTGGACTCACGCTTTTTTGAGAAGGGACGTTTCTCCAACAAGCACTGGAGCCAGAGACTCAGATAGTGGCTGGGCCCGAGCCCAGGTTCCTGAGTGCCAGGGTCAGGCTAACTTTGGGTGCAGGAACTCTCCCAATGGGCCAGAAAAGCATGGGAAATCCCAGAGTGGAGCTTCAAATTCTAACCCCCGGTTTCAAAGCTGGGCCAGATTAGGCCTTCCAGGTCCCACCTCCACCCCTGAGTCCTAAATCTGGGTTGTTCTTTGCTATTTTTTTAATAGTAAGTACAAAGAGAGACTTCTTACAGATATCCTTAAGGGCTCTGCTGTATCGTTTGGTCAAAGTCCAAAGTTGTGAGGAAGAAACAGAGAAACCAAACAGAAAAGGAGAAGATCTCACTCCAGAATAGAACAGAAATTGTGTTCCCAGGGAGCACATGAAGCTGAAAATACGTTAGCTGCTCTGAGCTTCAATTGTCCTAATCTTGTGATGGATGGATGGATGGATGGACAGACGAATGGATACATGCCTGGATGCATGGATTTAGGAACATTGGACAAACAGCTATGCTTTCTTTCCCTTCACTGCCAAGCCATTTCTAATTCTGGAAACCTAAATCCAGCAGGTTCATTGAGAATCTTTTATCTTATCTACTTTTAAATTATTTTATTAAATTATTTTATTAAGTTTGGGGAGTGTTTGGGGCATACTCAGTAATGCTCAAGGGTTACTCCTGGCTTTACACTCAGGAATCACTCCTGGCTGTGCTTGGGGGACCATCTAGGATGCTGAGGATCGAACCCAGGTCGACTGCATGCAAGACAAGTCTCCTACCTGCTGTACTATGGCTCTGACCCTCATCTTTCCTACTATTTATCTTTCTATGATGCTCTCAACTCTGATGCAGCATTGTGGCCAATTACTTGGAGGCATTCTTTTCCAAACACATTTTTTAAGTGTGTACTTTAGTTTTTTATTGATGCAGTGAATACACTCTACCAAACACTGTTGGATCCAGAGGCTAACAGTATGAACCAGTTTGTTGCCAAAGCCCTCCTCTGTCAGAAATGATATCAGGGAAGGGATCATTCCTATTATTTTCTAAGTTTCCTAAAAAGAGAAAATTCAGGGTTGGAGACTTGCATGTTTCTGGGCTGTGTGGATTCTAGAAAATTATCTTGTAACAGTAGCAAATGGGAAATCTTCACTGGTGACAAGTGAATGCACTAGAATTCCCATATCTAGTAGCCACTAGGCCACTGTGGCTATTTAAATGTTATTAAAGTGGAATTGTAAAACATTCAGCTCTACCAGTGCATTAGACACAATCCAAGTACTCTGTTGGTTTCATGTGAATTTCCTTGAGAAAAGAATCCTTAAGAATCCTTCAAAATCAGAATTTTCTTTCCAACTGCAAAACACAGGTTTCACACGCCTCTCTGGAGTGCCCTCGTGCCTCTTCCCAGTGATTGTCTTGAGTCAGCAAGCCAACTCTCGGAGACTATGGCCAACCCTAACACTACTACGTTAGTGGCACACGGCCTTCCCTCTGTTAAGAGCTCACTTCTCCCCTTTCTTCAGGAGTTCAACTAAAGTGCTCCATCCTCCCCTTTTCAACTTCCTTAGGTTTCCCTCCAGTGACTCCCCTAGGCTTTTTGTCTACGACAAATACCCACGTGGAATACATGCTGTCTTGTAACACTCTTAACAGGGACCCTCTGCAGAATCAGACTGACTGTTGACTGCAGGAGAGTATTGGGGTGAAGGGGGTGCATGGGGCTGAGATTCAGCCCACCTGCCACCTCCATCTGAACGCCTTGTGAATGGGCCCCTACCTAATTCACATAAAGCTATCACGAAGGCTGCGTGACACCTTGGCCCTCTAACCACTCAGGGCCTGAGTCTTACCTCTCACATACATGTGATCTGTGGAGGAAGCTACCAGGTCTCCTTATCCTGTCACCCCAGTCACACCCCAGATCCCACAGACATCAGAAACCACAGAGGCACTCTTGGTACTTACGATTCTGGTGACTTTTGGTCATGTTCTCCGAGTCCAGGGCATGGTAAAACTCATAGGCTGAGCGACCAAGCAGCTCCTCAGGGTGGTAGCCAACCAGTTCTGTGATTCTGAATTTTTTAAAAAAAACAAGGGGGGGGGGCTGTGGTTAGTGGCTTGCTGGGAAGAGAGAGACCACGAATTCAAGCAGGGACTTGGGGAGCCAAAGCCAGATGCTCAACCAAATACACACAAACATTCTCCAGACCCCCTAATGGCCCCCATACCCACCCCATATAAGTGAAACACCAGGGGGAGCCTTCCCAGTGGCCCTTCTTTCTGCCCCTCTGGAAATCCTGGGGAGGGGAAAAACGGGCCTAACCAGGAGAACCAACTTCTCTCCCCTGTACACACAAGCCTACCTTTCAGAATCACTGGAAGAAATCTCTCACCCCAAACCCCAATTCCTGGTGACTTTGTAGGAAACGACGAGATCCAGGGAAGGCTCAATTTGGCATGATGCCCACATAGGGTCTAGAGACAGTGAGGACCAAAACTGGGGCCTCCCGATGATGTGGGTCAAGGCTGCTCTCGTAGAGGGTGATATGAGTGAATAGTGGACACTCTGCAGCTCTGAGGCAGGGGAGAATGGACAGGGCCTTTGGGGACAAACAGTGAGGGAGCCTGAGCTGTGGCAACCCCATGGGTGTGAAGCCTGTATTTCTCTAGGTGCTTCTTTCCAGGCCTTGCCTGAAGGCCTCAGGTACCCCTTGGCATCATATTTGCCTTCTGGGAGAGACTCTCTCTTTGAGGAAAAGAGGGAGTCAGGAGGTGTTGAGAGGAAGACTCGAGGTTGTCATAGGGTTCTGCCTCCTCAGTATGCTCTGGTGATGGTGCAGCTTTGACAGGAGGGACCTGCATGTCCCAAATGCCCCTTTCTTCCTCCAGGAAGATGCCCAACTGAACGGGAAGTGGGTGGAGAAAAGGCCAGTGGGCACTGAGTGAGGAACGCCTCAGGTTCCTCAAGCCTCTGCTCTCTCCTGGGGTCATTCCAGCAAACAAAGCCCTGCCCGGGCTGACGATAAGCCGCTCGCTCTTCACCTAAATACGATTTCTCAGCATCTTTGCCTCCCACAGCTTTCATCTAAGGGGCTCGCTGCCTGTCAGCCCATGGTGAGCTGGCAGTGACAGGACATGCTTCACCCTCCCTGCTCCGTGTCAGGTCAGGCCCGTGACCAGGACGCGGCTGCTCTCCTGTGGCTGGGTAGAAGAAGACCCCGAGAGCACAGTGGCGACAACATCCCAGGTTCCTGGCTCCTCTGTCTCCCTTCCAAGCAGGTTCTGCAGAGGCCCATCAGATAAAGTCACCCTAAAATCGCATTTCCACACTGTCACTCCTGGTGCAAGTGTCCACAGCTTTCACTAATTCCAGCCACATTGAGAGTAGACAAACTCTCAGTCACTTCCATATTCCCCAGAGCCTGACTTTCCTCTTCCAAGCTCTTTGGTTTGCTTGGGATGTGTCCTTTAGGGCGGCAGGGGGCTCCCGGGCAGTGCTCCAGGAGACTTGGGCACCCCAGAGGTGAGTCTTGACAACTGTGTGGATGCAAGAGCCCGGGGAATGTATGATGCTTGCCCCTGGGTGCTGAGGCCTTGGACCACCCTCTGGCAGTGTTCAGTGGATCATGTGGTGTCAGGGTTCAAGCCCAGGTCAGGCACTTACTGAACCACTGCTTTTATTCTCCCAGCCCCCAGCAGGCTGGTGTTTAGGTGCACAGGATGACCCTGGGAATCGTGTGTGCTTCTCCTCGTGTCCTTGACTAGCAACCTTGAACTTTGAATTGCTTTACCTCCTAACAGTGAGTGCTCAGTGAACTCCTGCACTGCTGACTTGCACTGCTTGGGCTTCGGGGACAACCAGAGCCCTGGCCACCCACCACTGCAAAGGAGCCTGTTCTTACTGGAATAAAGCTAAGAGTTTCAGTGCCTGCTGGTGCTACACACACACACACACACACACACACACACACACACACATACACGCACACCACATATACCACAGACACCGCACATATCACACACTATATATAAAACACACATATACCACATACATACCACATACCACACATCACTGCACATATGCCACAAACATACATACATACACTACACACATATATACACACATCACACCCCATGCATATTCATCACAGATACACCACATATACCACAGACACTATACACATCACACACTGCATGTCACACATATACCACATACATACTACATACCACACACACCACCACACATATGCCACAAACATACATACACACGCTACACACACATATATACACACCACACACACACACCACACCCCTATGCATATTCATCACAAACACACACACACACACACGTCCATGATCACTGAATTCATTCTTTCTTCGTTCTGTCAGCTGTGCCTGGAATTCAGGTGGGCAGAGAAGTGGAAGTTCTCTACAGAGGTCAGACCTGGGGTTTGGGAAGGCCTTTGCCCAACAAGGGATCACACAATAGAGTGGAGAAGCTTAGGTATCAGCTGACTCAATGCGGAGACTTTTTCCCCCACAAAACCCCAACAGCTCACTTGTGCAGACGGCCAGTCCCAGATCAGGGGGGTCAGTCCCCTCCGGACCCCAAGTAGAGAGTTCACTAAGCTTATCTGTGGCAAACACGGCAACACCAGCACCCAGTGGTGCCTTAGCTGAGGAAAAGACGGGGAGAAGAGAGAGCCCAGGGATCAAGCCAGCTGCGCTTTCCTACAGTCAAGGAGCTTTTCCTGCCAGGCAGCTGCCTGGGAATCAGAATCCTGCTGGTGGGTGCCACCAACAATGGGCCAGATAAACTCCTCCTGTTCTTAGGTGGGTCTAGAATTTTCTATGAGGCAAAGGGGATTCCGGGAACGACCTGATCCTACTCCTTGAAGAAACTCAATCCTCTTTCGCGATTAGAATCTTTGAGATGTCCAAAGTAAATATTTACTAGAGTCAGCCTTGCCGTGAAATATGTTTTTGTCTAATTAATGTACCGCCCATTCAAAGGCACACAATGGGCATGTTTTGGAAGCGAACAAACAGACCTGGAGTTTCAGACTGGCTAAATCTCTTCCCAGTAGCCGCCTTCATTTATCTTGTCCTACTACAATAAATATTTAATGTCTCCCTCGTTCCTTTAAACAGACTACTGTAGAAACGGGGAGATACCCAGTCCCCAAACACAATTGAAGAACGTCTGTGTTGTCGGAACTCAAGCAGGAAGCCCCAACTCGACGCTCATGGTCATTTGCCCCCACGCGCGGGCACGTAGACCAGTGTGGGGGGGGGGGGTGGTGGTGAACGAACCGGCATGTTTACAGGATGGCAACGAGAGCCTTCCCTGCTCCACCTCTGGGTTGCAGAGAAGTCTCTGGAGCTAGCTCTGATAACACCATTTCAGAGGCTTTCTCCGGCAAGGGTAGGGAGTGACTTTTTTCTTTCTTTCTAATTAAAGACCACTGATCCACTGGTGAGGGGAGGGATTTTTTTAAAAATCAGTTTGGAGTGACCCATACATTAAAAATGTCATCTTAGTAAGGCTTTTCTGCTTTGGGAGAAGAGAAAAAAGGGGAAAAAAAAAGGTGGAGTGTTTAATACTCAGAAAAGAAGAGACATGACTTCATTATATTGTAGGAAAAAGAAACAGACAGGGGCCAGAGAGATAGCTCTATGGGTAGCACTACCCACCCAAACTTGACTGGCATGAGGCAGATGTGGATTTGGCCCCCAGTATCCCATATGGTTTCCCAAGAAAAAAGGAGTTACTTTTGAGTGCAGAGCCAGGAGGAACCTCTGAGCATTGCTGGGTGTGAACCAAAAACTAAGGGAAAAAGAAAGAAAAGAAAAGAAAAAGTTGAAATAGGCCAACAGCTGGAGAGAGATAGAGAAGAAGAGAGGGGAAGGCATGGACAGAGGATGACTACCTGGGTCAAGTCAAAGGGTCTGTGCTCGCGCTGTGGACCCCGGGAAAGATGCTCAGGCCGGACGCTGGGCCTTGATTGCCTCCCGTGCTGCTCCATCAGTCCTTCTGATCCTTCACAGTATGGAGTGGGGCTGCCCCATGCAGGCTCCCGAGGTGGAGGACCAGAAGGAAACAGTTCCCTGGAGCACAGAGCCAGAGGCTGGAGCCAGCTCCCTCCAGCCTTCCTACCCAGGCCACTGGTGACGCCCTCTGTCAGCCTGCAGGCTGACTGCTGACCCCCGCCCCATCCATGGGGACAGGCACAGGCTTTGCCTGGTCGATCAATCATGCCAACAAGAATATTGAAGCGATTTAAGAGGACAGCGGTCTTTAAGTGTCGGCAGGTGACCAGCTGCTTTTCCCCAGAGAACGCCAGGAGAGCAGTCACCCCCGAAACCTGCTTGCTTGCTTCCTCCCTCGTTCTCAAAACCGTCATTTACAGGCAACACTCGATTCACTTTATTTTGGTTTTCCTGGCTAGGCTTAGAGATGATATTTTGCTGTTGTTGCTGTGTTTCGGTTTGGTTTTGATTTGGGGCCACAGCTGGTGGTGCTCAGCGCTTAGTCCTGCTTCTGTGCTCAGGGATCACTCCCTGGCAGGGCTCGGGGGACCATATGGGGTTCTGGGGACCAAGCCTGGGTCAGCACCTCACCCACTCACTCTACTGTCCCTGCATGCAGGACGGATGGCTCCCTGCCCACCTCTCTCTCTCTCTCTCTCTCTCTCTGTGACCCCGATAGAGCATTTCCCAGTAATTTCCAGTCTACTTGTTCACTCAGCATTTCATGCCTTGCTCTACTTGTTATAGATTTACCACATGTTGCTCTCAGCAACCCTCTTTTTCCCTTGGGTTTTTCTTAAATGTTCACGGTCAGGTGAAATCTAGCAGCCCACTGTCTAGGGCAGGGGTCCTGGAGGGCACCCTGGTAAGTGCAAGGAAGTGCAGGTAGGGGTCATTTGTAGGTAGGAAGGCAGCTCCAGCTAGCCCCAGGGGCCTGGGGCCTCCAAACACCATCCCGGCCTTCTAGAAGGTCAAACGCAACAGTCGCAGGTGGCAATCTGCCCTGACTTGTGAAGAGAGGGAAGCAGATGGGGCCGAGGGG